AGGGGACACAGGGGGGTCACAGGGGACACGGGGGTGTCACTGACAGGGGATCCGGGATCCGGCCGTGTCCGGGTAGGGCCGGGCTCCGAGACTGACGGGAGCGAGAGGCCTCGCTGCTTGCAGAGAGTAGAGCAGTTCTCAGTGCTCAATTTCCACTCTTGGCAGTTGTTTCGTGGTTTGAGGTTTTTTTTTTTTTTAATTCTCCTGTATTTCGGGGAGCTGATCATTGGATATTCAGCCCCACGACACTGTGCTTTTCAGCCTAAAAACCGAGAGTTTAACTAGTGCGTTAAGAAGCCTTTTTCCTCTCGGGCTTTAGTTTGGTCAACTCACAAGCATATGGAATACTTTATTTTGAGCGTGTTCCTGGTGTGAACTGTTTACTTACATCTTTCTCTGTTTCCTGTTTCAGGCGGATTTTGATGTTGATCACTTTGTGTCAGACTGCAGGAAACGTGTGCAGTTGGAAGAGCTAAGAGAGGATCTGGAGCTCTATTACAAACTCCTTAAAACTGCTATGGTAGAGCTCATAAATAAGGACTATGCAGATTTTGTTAATCTCTCAACAAATCTCGTAAGTGTTACTGGTTGTACCTTGTAGTTCAGGCTTACTGTGGTTCAGTGGGATTTTTATTTTTCATATGAAAAGTATATGGCTTTTATTTTGGCATTTTATGATTTAAGGCATCTTAAACTGAGGTATCTAGTCCTTGCACTGAGACACCATTCCTGTAGAAATTACAGAATTGCTGTACAGAATTGCTGTTGGTCTGTGGTAAGTGTTTTAGATGTATGCATTTTGTCTTTTAAAGCTGATTTGTTAAGGAGTTAAAACTCAGGGCAAACTTTGTTTCAAACTGTCAGCACTTTTAAAATTGAAGGAATTAAATTATTAAAATAGAATAGCAATGATAAAAGTAAGTCTGTTTTGAAGGATTCTTTTAGGAATCTTTAAACTTTTTGTATATCAAAGTAGCTTAAAAAATCCCCAACTTTGTATCTGAAAATTGTAATTGTTCCAATTATACAGAGTTAAAGACTGAGACTTAACATACTTCTGAGAGAAAAAATTTCCATAGGAGGAAATTTTGTTTATCTTTTGGGTTTGTGTGAAAGCAGTCTTACATCTTTATGCTTCTATTTGAGATAACATACTTTTGCATTGAATTAAAAACTGGAAATTATAAAGGAAGCTATGTTTTCTCACTTCTCTTTCAGTATCTGTAAAATGATAGGCTTTGTCAGTAATTCACATATGATCTTATCAAAAAAGTAATACATGTGTTTGTGGTAATTTCTTTAGGTTGGCATGGACAAGGCTCTCAATCAACTTTCAGTACCTTTGGGACAATTAAGGGAAGAAGTTATGGTATGTTCAAAACAGCCGTTGTCAACAGCTTGGTAAACTTCAGCTCGCTCTCCTATGATGTACAGAATGCCTTCTATTCAAGTTAATATTTGTTACAGTAAACTTTTCTTTGAAGACTGATGACTTAGGTTGCTAGTAAGAGAAGCATTGTGTTTTCAGGCACTTGTATTGTAGTAAATTTAGGTTTCCTATAATGCATTTCAAGAGATAAAGAGTTTCTAAAACTTGACAAGTGAATAGACTCTTGCAAGACAAGTCTATGGAGATATCTTGAGGCTGTTTTAATATTTGAGTAACTTAAAGATGGTAGAAAATTCAGGTGCAGCAAAGTCCCTTTATGGACTTACTTTCCTCAGTGTGTGGTTTAACCATAAAACATCACTCTTTTGAAGGTGGAGCTTATTCTGGCTCCTCCACACTGACTTGGTATTTATAGGAAGGGGCAATTTTTGATCATCTTGGCAGCCAGTTCAAAGGGATGCCTAAATGTGCCTCCAAAATATCACACCCTTTGTGTCTAACAGAAAACAGGCTCAGTAAGCATAGAGAAATCCTTATTGAGTGAAAAATATTATTTAAAACTGATTTATAACTTCAGTTGCAAGACATAAAAACATAGTGGGTTGATTGCCTGTTTTTAGGCAAAGGTCATTTGTTCTCTCTAATGTAATAAAAGAATGGTTATGGTGGAAATAATTATATTTGATTTGCAGTGGCAATACCTAAGGAGCAGGTTCTACTTTCAGTTATTTAGTTGTATTTATGGCTTTTTCACTTGATATTTTGTAGCTTTTATTAGTCCCATGATTTTATTAATCTGTGTCTTGAGTTTAGATTTATTTTTTTTAGGTTTTTTTCAACCCTTAAATGGGAAGCAGGCTTTACATACTGGCTTTTTCTCTCACAGAGTCTTAAGTCATGTGTCAGTGAAGGAATTCAAGCAGTAGATGACCGAATGACTAAACAAGAAGACATTAGAAGAAAAAAGGTACAGCAGATAGTACTATCTTCAAAAGATCATCCTTAGGATAACTTTGATTTTGCCATTAACCCAGAGAAAAGGAAATTAAGAAAGTTCTATGCTGTCTAGATGCATACTGTGCAGGATTTTGTACTTGTAATATGTAGTGAATATTTGGTTGACAAACTTCATATTTTACAGTGTCTAGTTGGTCATAAATCTTTGCTTTACTGTAGTTGCCCATATGTTTGGTTTAGTTGGATTTTTTTCTTTTGTAATAGTTGCTCTTGTTTCTAACTGCAGTAGCATATAAACTTACTTATTATGAATGGAATTGAAGTACAGCTGTTTAATTTTTATGGGCAGGAGACACACTAACACTTGTCTTTGTGCTTTGAAAAACAGCAGGGATAGGAACAACTGTCCCACATGTGACAAACATTTATTTATGGTGTTTTATGGACATATGTGAGCAATACTTCACCTGAGACATGACTCAAGTGTTAAGATAAAGGGAGAAAACTTAAACCAGGAAAAAACCAAAGAACTAAGAAACCATCTAAAATATTTTCTTTAGGTGATGTCAATTGGGATTGGGCTTAGACATGAAAAATCTTTCTTTAATTACAGATGTGTGTCCTGAGACTTATTCATGTTATTCAGTCTGTGGAGAAAATTGAGAAGATTCTACATTCCCAAGGCACTAAAGAATTGTCCTCATTAGAGGGAAACAGGTAAAAAATTGTAATGTTTGGTTTTGTTTGTAGTTGATGGGACTAACTTAATTTCATGTTGTCGTTGAAGGTGAATTTACCAGCAGTATGATGTATCTTTAAAAATGTAACTCTGATGGACTAAATTATTGGAATTTTAGTATTTTCTTTGTTTTAGTCTTCCGCAAGCCAGTCATTCACAGAACATGTAACTCAGACTCCAAACTTCCAAATTACTTGTGGTGCTTTCAGTAAGCAAGCTTTGTGAAGTTACTGTGCAGTTATTTTTTTTCACTTTATTTTATTAGAAGTCACTAATCCTCTCATGTCTGAAATACTCTCTATAGTTTATTCCAATGTCATTTGTAAGTGAAACAAAATAGTTTTTCTTGATTTCCCTGCTTATGTGTAAGTGAAAGGACTGGTGCAAGAATAGCTTTAGGCAGGCAAGGCAAACCTAGTACAAGGAAGATTTGTGACAAATTCCAGTCAAACCTCTTCCTCTGCCTTTGCTGAGGATTGCAGGATGTTGTTCAGCCAATTTTGGAGCTGATGTACCATCATGCTCTTGAAAGGCTTGACTGGGATGCAAGTACAATTTAAGCTGGAGGGAAGACACAGTGTGAGACTGTCTCTTCAGCTCAGTGTGCCTGATCACATGATAGATAGTGGGGGTGGGTGAACCAGAAAGTAGGTTGATACCTAGAGGGACAAGAGCAGATGTTTTCAGTCAGGTGAGGCACTTTGCAGAATTAAGTTTGCAGTTAAGATCATTCTTAAACAACTGAAAATTCGGCTCATTATTGGGATTGTGTGGGCTTAAGAAGGGCAGGACTGTTTCTCTAGAGATAACTGTCATTAGTTTTACTATATGACAGAGTAAGAAAGAAACAAATCTGGATAGTGAAAACCACCTGGTGCAGTTTGCTGTGCTCTCTTAAGACTGACTTTTCATGTAATGATAAAACTGCCATTTAGGAGAAAGAGCTTCATCCTGCTGAGGCAAGAGCTTATGTTCCTCTCAGCTTCTGCTTCACCCACTTCATGTTAGAGCTGCAAAACAGCACTAATCATGTAGCATGCTCCAGATCATTATTGCTTGATTGCAATCATTACAGTAGTACCTATCAGAATTCAAAATACTGAAATTACAAAAAATTGAGGGAGAGCTCTGTCTATCTGTTACAGATGAGAGGGAGTTGGTTTGAAAGGATCTAACTGTGTTCTCATTTTGTATCTTCTCTCTTCTAGTCCACTTGTAACTGGACAAGTTTTAGAGAGAATTGCCACAGAATTTAATCAACTACAATTTCATGCAGTACAAAGCAAAGGAATGCCCCTTTTAGACAAAGTGAGACCAGTAAGTATTGCATGACATTTAACACTTGCACAGTCAAGCAAAACCAGTATAATTGGAAGACAAATGCCTGTTTCCACAGAGTTTTATTGAATTGGGTTTCTTGAGGTCATTTTTATCAGTTGACTAGAACTATTGCTTTTTCTGAGGTTTTATGCCCTGTTTGCTTACTTCTTTAGGATAAATTACTGAGAATAAGAATAGGAAATATGACAGATGTTTTTGTCAGCCTAATGTATCTTGCAGTTCATCTGCTTACTTATACTGAGGTCTCGTTGTAGAGATTTATGTTGGCTTTGTTAGCTGCCGTGTACAGACCAGAACATAAATGGAATGTGCCTACATAGTGGCTGGCTTGAATATATTCAGGTTTGTCTTCTCATGAAATTATGCTGGCCATTACTAATCTCCCAGTATGCTCTTTTACCTACTGTAAAAGACTAAGTGATGTTTTGGTGGGACTTTTTTCTTCTATTCATTCAGTGGGGAGAGGGAATAAATGAAAACTTGTGCTAAAAGGAAGGTGTGAATATAGAGATGGGGTAATGCTTTAAGCTGATTCTCATGAGGGTGTCATTCTTAATGGCTTTCAAGCTGTTGAGGTAGTTCTGTTTGTGCCTCTGCCTATTGGCAATACAAACTTGTTTCGGCTCCAGATATCCATGGGATCATTTTGTTACATGGACAGTTTACAAGACTCCTCTGGCCACTGAGTTGGATATCAGACTTGGATATTAGCAGCAGTGAGCATGAGCAGCAGAGTAGTGTGTGCGGTGGGAGAACATTTGTCACGTGGCTTCCTTAATGGTGTTTGCCAGGACTTGTGTCCTGTACCTGTTGTTGCTAAGGTTTATCAGAATGTAGCTTTCATGACTAGTCAGCTGTTGGGTTCCTCACTTCGCATGTTCAGTAAAAATTGTATGAATCATTTTAGGATGGATGGACACAATACAGCATGTAAAAAGAGAGAGAAGAAATTTTACTGGCTATATTCATAGTTCAACTCCAACTGCCTTAATGTGTGTTGCTGATCTTCCTTCAAATGCAGAGTTATAGGGCCAGGAGTATATCTGCAGGTAGTGTAGCAATGGACTCATTGCTACACTAGTCAGATCTAGTGGAAAAGATGTCATGGGAGGTCAGGAAAAATAGTTTGCAAAAAGGAGAATATATGTAGGCTGAAGAAGCTGTTTGGCAGAAGCCAGAAGGAATCTAATTTCATTGGTGTTTGCTAGTGTCACTCAGTGTCATTGGTTTGTGGTAATTTGACAAGTAGTGCTGGGTACACGCTGTCTGTTTAGTCTCTGACAGTGAGGGATAAATGCTACAATTGTTATCCCTGGTCACTTACTGTAAATCTTTTGTTTATTGTCACATACTGGTTCAGTTGAACAAGAAACAATTAGTAACTTATTTCCTCAGGATAAAGCAGACCTGGTATAAATTACCATGGAACTTACAACATATAGAACATAATAATTGCCTTTAGCTTTATTATAATAAATCCTGTCTTATATAGCATCAGTAGCCAATTAAGTTTGTGTTAATGGTCATTGAACACTGGCAGTTATCAAATTTTTGTACTTTTCAAGTAAGGATAGAAAGCTGAGTTAGGCACATCTGGATGAATTTACTTCAGCAATGATGACAAGCTTTGATTTTGTCTCTTTCTGACTATATTTTCTTTCTCTTTGTAGCGTATTGCTGGAATAACAGCCATGTTGCAGCAGTCTCTGGAAGGGCTGCTCTTGGAAGGCCTTCAAACGTCAAATGTTGACATAATACGCCACTGTCTGCGCACTTATGCAACAATTGACAAAACACGAGATGCAGAGGCATTAGTTGGCCAAGTGCTTGTAAAACCTTATGTAGATGAGGTAAGATAACATTAAAAAAATTCCATTTGTTTTCCAAATGTGTTTATTTTTCCTGTGAACCTCCAGCTTTTGTTAGCAGCTTCAAAATATCTTTGTGGAGAGAACAGGATAACTGAGCTGCAGCAAAACGTCAGTTTGGTTGTTGCTGCTATTTAAGAAGAAAAGGATGAAGGAATTCCTTTACTTGCCTGTCACCAATTTCAAGTTATATCCAGGGTGGATTATTTTTCTTATCTCTATTTTTCTTCGGCTAAAGAATAAAAAAACCAAACCTCTCCCATTTAGGACAGGTTTCCATTGGGTGTCTGCTACGTGCTGTAACAGCTGCTACAGCATGAGACATGTCACTTTCCCCTCAGTTTTCTGAGGCTCTGTTCTTTCACCACTTCTGCACCATTCCACTTGTTTATGTAGCAAGAGGCAAACGTGTTCAGACATTGGAAGAATACCAAGAAATAAGCTGTTGTTCTTTTTCTACTGTCGTCTCTTTGTGGCGGAGATTATCCCTTCTCACTGAGTATGAGGCACTGTCCAGACAAGCTGATTTGCTAGCTGCTAGCAGTGTCACAGAAGATGCTTTGCTTTGGCTTGACTGTATTTGGGATTGGACCAACCACAACATTTGGAAGGAGTTTTTACTTTATTCTGAGTTTGATTAGCTTTTACCAGTTCCCTCTTTAACTTGACAGACTGCTTCAGGTGACAGTGATGTGGCAGTGGGTTGGCAGCCAGACATAGTGGCTCACATTTAAAAGAAAGGATCTCCTTCCCAGTTTTGGGCCAGTCTTGGCAGTTAAGAGTGCTGCTTTAAAGGAAGTAATAATTCAGGCTGGCAAGTTATACTTGGAAAATATAATGAAAAAAAAAAAGTAATATGCTGACTATCCCGGTATTTGAGGTTATAGTGTTAAGAGTTTTGTGAGTCTTGCATTACAGCATATTTTATATTCACTTTTCTGGCGTTTAACACTGAGCTGTTCCTGGCAGGTGATGGTGGAGCAGTATGTGCAATCCCACCCCAATGGCCTCCAGGCTATGTACAATAGGCTGTTGGAGTTTGTTCCTCATCATTGCCGCCTCCTGCGGGAAGTGACAGGGGGAGCAATTTCCAGGTGAGTATCCTGGGCTTCTCAGCTGCACTGAAGTCACAACAAGTATCATATGCTTTCAAATCCTTTGCATTATCAGCTTTCATGCACTAATGACTTCTCTGGCCTTTCCTGAAAATTCTAGTCAAGTTTGATTTGTACCTCACACCTGTGTTTCTCAAAACAAAACAGTGAGCAGACTTTCCTGGTGCTGCAGCCCAGACCTTCAGAGGACGCAAAGACAATCCTGTATTTCAGTAGTAGAAGTGAGTCCTGTGCATAATACAGTGTGTCAGATAACTTGATTTTCTGAACCCATTAAATATGATTGTACACTTCATTCAAGGAGAAGAGCATAATAAAGCTATTAAAATATAAGTTCAGAAGTTATTGAATTAGTGCACATCAGAAAAGTGGGAGTGGTCCTCAGTGGTTTGACTGATTTATTGCGTGTACCAAAACTACAGGTTTAATTTATTTGTGCTTCCACTGTGTTCTCAAAAAGTGCTTATTCCTTATGCAATTAAATTACCTGTTTTTCAAGCTTAAATAATTCAGGTCTACTGAGTTGAATCCATTTATTCATCTCTTTTCAGGATGGTTAATATAGCAGACTGCTGTAATTAGCAGAACTATGGACGTAGCCCCTAGGGACTGCAGAATTACTTTTCTAATTAGTCATCCATTGCTGAGCTCTTTATGACTCCTAAGTTTTACTAACATTTTAATTCTTTCAATCCCTCAGCAAGTTTTAATTGTTCTTCTTAATAATGGAATGTTTCTACTTAGTGGTGTGATGTACTAAATTGGAATAGAATGCTATTATCTCTTCTGCTCTCAATTTTTAAGTTTTCAAAATCAAGGTAGCTTTTGATCTTTTGATCAAACACAATATGTATAAATACAGTTTGGAACAATTAGGAAGAAGTTCTCTTTTTCATTGCATTAGTCACATTATTCCTACTTGGTAGGTCTTGGAAGTTTGGTGCTATTAAAACTTGAATTATACCTAGGATTTCTTGGCTGAAATGTAGTAATTTTCCAGTACACACTCGCAAAATATGTAACTGATAAATTTTTTAAACACTTTGAGAGTTACAAAAAAGCACCTTTGATTTGATAAGACTGTGGAATTGGATAAGGAGTCTTCGAAGGAAAAACAGTTTAGGGAATCAGTATAAATACGTAAAAAAATTTCATTGCATTTTGTCTAGTGCAGTGCATCTATTTTTTTTTAAGTGATTCCTGCCTCCAGATAGAAGTCTGGTGGTAAAATATAATCATAGAATAATTGCAATTTTTTTCAGTGAAAAAGCAGATATTGTTCCTGGATATGATTTCTTGGTGAACTCAGTGTGGCCAGAAATAGTACGTGGTTTGGAAGAGAAATTGCCATCACTTTTTAACCCTGGAAACCCAGATGTGTTTCATGAGGTAATTAATTTCCATTTTTCCATTTCTAATTTCTGGGACAGACACAAGAATTGGAAGAGTCGTGTTCTCTAGCTTCTCCCCCCTCTGCTGCTTTTGTGTAAATTCATGTTGTTGCATGGTTTGCAAGAGGAGGTTTTCTCAAACCACTTGGTTCAGTTTTCATAGGAATTAATTCTCCCCTCAAGTTTGTTAGGAGAGCTCATGCAGAAGTTATTGGATACCATTCAGCAGATGAATTTGTTTTTATTTTGGGAGTAGAATTGCAATGTTATTGAAGGTGGGAGTGGATGACTCCAGTGTTCACTCAAGTCTAGAACTGCTGTATAGCACGAGCTGATAATTAATATTAATTAAATATCTGGGTTGCGACTTATTTTTTACTATGGGAAGGTTAAAAAAATTCTTTGTTTTGCTTGCTTGTTTTAGCTTTTGCTCTCTTGCAGTACTGCATATTATGTTGTGATTATAAACACAAGTCAAGTAAAACCTGAAAATATTTGGCAGCACCATCAGGTTTAGAAAACAGGGATAGTATTTCTCTGATATCACAAGCTTACATTAAATAATGAATTTAAAGTACTTGTCACTCATGTATTTTCTTCATTGGTAGTGCTGCTCTGTCTCTAAAACATCATCTTTTACTAATGGTGAAATAGATTTCTTGGTTTAGGATGAAGATCTTCTCTGGCAGCGCTTTACTTGTGACTTGTGTGTTGCAAGTCGAAAATAGGAACTCTCTGCTTTTCCTCATGTCCTGCCTGCTTTGTGTTTAACCATGATTACTGAAAAAATTGGAGTTTTTCCCCCAGGCAGTTTGACTTGTGATTAGTGTGAAACATTTTATTTTCAAGATAGAGATGGGAGGCAGTGGTAAATTGTCTGAAGGAAGGCACTGTTGGCATATCAGGACAGATGACTTGAGGAAATGCTGGCTTGCAAGTGGAGGCTTATAAGGCATGTGATTCTTCATGTCTTCCTGAAAAACTGCTTTTACTAAACACTTAGATATTTTTTCTGCGAGTTTAAGATCTCTTTTGTACAGATAGATTGAACAAGTGGAGGCAGATTGGCATGACTGAGTGTTTGCAGTGCTGTCTCTGAAGAAGAAGCAAATGACATGGATGTTGAAGAAAGCTGTCGTAGTGCCACGCAAGTGATGCTACAATGTGTTCCTCCTCCCACATGAGAATTCTTAGTTTACCATGAAGTTTTAGTCACTCTTCAAGCTTTCACCTTATGCCTACATACTGCGGATTGTGAGCCTTGTTGGGCCTTTGCTGTACTGTGCTCCATGATGTACAGGAGTATATTGTGTCTTCAGAAAAGCTGGGTTTGCTTAAAAGGCCTGTCTTATGTTACACTGATACTGGCCAACAAAGGTGTTTGGTTTATTTAAAAAACACCAAACAATCAAAAAAAAACCCCAGTAAAAACCCAGCACCCAACCATGACCTCCAGGTAAATCACATAGTAAGTCCAAAGTACTTTCCATACTGCTTTTGACTACTTAAGGGAGTCATAGTCATTAAAATCATTAAAATCATTACAATATTTTACTTGAAAATCGATACAAAGTTGAAATGCCAAGTGTAAAAATGCTATTACACCTATCTAAAGACTAATAGTTCTGAATTGAGAGGGAGGGAAAAACCTTTTAAAATTGTTTTGCTCTGATGATGAGCCAAGTAATGCTACACAAATTTTAGACAATAATCTTTTGTCTCCATTTTCTAGGTTGATAGAAATGCAGAACAGTTTTCTTCTCCATGTGTATTTTCATATATACCTATGTATAGATTTAATGCTGAACATTTTAAATATGCTGTGTTTTCTGTTCAGGGGTTTTTAGGTGTAGAGGAGAGAGGGGCATTGAAAGATTTGTTTTAAATCCTTTAAAAATCAGACTGGCAATGTAAAGTATGTTAAAGTAAGCGTTTTTGCGACATGGCTTTTTAAAATAGTTTCAGGTTGTTGTGCCTTTCTTTGAGTTAGATGTGTAGTTTTATGTGTATTTAAAAGAATACTTCTTTTATCCCTAAACATTCATTTAAGATTAAGTTTAGATTTCTCTGTTTGAGAATTGCTCCCTTTTGGTTCCCAGTTTTACTTTTCTTAAATAACTCTGCAGTCAACAATCCAGTCCTAGAAGCTGAAATAGGAACCAATCTTGCAGTTAGTTCCCTCTCCTGGATATAATATTTTCAGTATTGAGATAAATGTCTCTTGAGGTGCCTTCCATTTTGAAAGTGATGGGTCTCTACAGAGTGTTTGGTTTATATCTCTGACTTACACTTAGGGTAGCAGAGCATTAACAGCTTGTTTGCCTTTTTACAGTGCTGGGTTTATTATCTAAGAAAGGAGGCCTGGAAGAGAACTCATCTGTCATTCAATCTGGGTCTAACTCCTATACCTTTTATGGGTTCGTTGTGTTATAGATACAACCAGATTACGAGAAAAGTAGTCACTTAAAAGCTTTTGGATGCATTTTTCAGGATAGTATCTTGACACTGAAACTGCAACATCGCAAGAAAGGTATTCTGTAGTTATACCTTTAACAGAAAGTTATGAACTTACTGAGATACCCAATACTGAGGCATCCCTGTGGCAGTTCATGTCCTTTGTTCACAGGAGAGTTTTTGAGAGCAGGCCCTCTAAGCAGCAACACAGGAGCTTCTCCTGATAACGTTTTACAGCTTCACAAGAGGCAAAATCACCTGGCTCCTGTAGTGAGTGCTCTGGATTGTGGATTGAACCCTAACCCTGCAGTGAAGTCAGAAGCACTGAGAGATTGTCTGGACTATTTCATTAATTCAGTAGTGGATTTATGAGAATGTATGATAAGTTTTATGGCTGTTTCCTAATTTTTTTTTAATAGAACAAACTTGCACAGGAACCAAACTAGCTTTCAGTTCATAGAATTTTAAGTGCAGTTGTGTTTTGATTGTAAGTTTATTTACCTAAGTTTCATGGTCTGTTAGCAAGGTCTATTTTGTATGAAATAACATTTTTTGTACTGTTTTACTACTGGCTTTCATCAAATATTTGACTTTCCGCTTTGTGCATGATTTAATTTATTATTTCATTATTTTCAGTGTTCTCATACTATTGAGACCAAATCCACAGTATGTTTGGGGATTAATGTATTTTTTTTTGCTTGCAACCAACTGAATGCTATTCATAAACATCTTATTGGAAGTATACACTGGATGAAGTTAGTTTATCTGAATTTGTTTGAAGTTCTGCTGCATTTTTTGATATTTACAAAACATTTTTAGGGAAACAGCTCTAGAAATTCTTATAGTACAGGTCCTGCATAACAGACAAAAATATTGTGCTTTCATTCTCATGTGCAGTAGGCTATGCGTACTTCTAAGTTTCATTCCTGATTGTTCCTCCTTGTTGTGTAGTTTTGTCTGCTGCACCTGACTCTTTTAGTAGTGTGCAGCACCACCCCAGTGATTGAGCTCAGAAATAGTTATGAATCTCTGATCAGTTCTGCTTGATAGAATGCTTGGACAGTTTTCTTGTTTTTAGAAGTTTCCTTACCATAAAGTAACACTTTGAAGTTAATTTGGTGTTGGTGTCTGTGCAGCCCAGGCTTTTAGCCTTGTGTTATTAGGTGATGAGGGGCAGTGTCAGCCCATCCTGACCCTTGAGCTTAGCTGTAGCATCATACAGGGGTTCTGCTGAATGGGTGGTGGCCTTGCTTGTTTGCTGGGAGCCTGTGTGTGAGCAGAGTGCTCCTTCTCTTCCTGCAGAGATACACCACCAGTATGGACTTCGTGCGGAAATTCGAACGCCAGTGTGGCTCCCAGGCCAGCGTGAAGCGCTTGAGAGCTCATCCCTCTTACCACAGCTTTAACAACAAATGGAATCTGCCTGTCTATTTTCAAATAAGGTTGGCATGCATTTTTTTGTTCACTCTTAAGGTCACACCTCCCCATTGTTCAAAGTCTCACGTGTCAACAAATCGTATGCAAATCAAATTAAGAATTTAATTATATCAAGTAACTTTTATATATCTTTCAACAATTCAGCAAAAAATCACATAACTACTCTTCAGTATGTACTGTGTTGTTACACCAGATTTGATAAGCTACTCATAAGACTTTCAGGAACAGATCTAAATAAATCTTGAATTCTTGTTTCAAATGATTTTTCTCCAGTGTCCCTGAAACTAAGCTGTATGTTAAATGCTACTTATGCAAAGCCAGAGGAATACTTACTGTGAATAAAGAAATCTTTTTTCTTAGATGTATAGAACTAAAGGACTTGAGAACTTTCAGGTTTTCCAGACCTAGCCATGTTTCTGACATTCTTTATGTCTCACAGGATGTACTCATTAAATTGTATCATTGCCTTCCCAAAGATTGTCCTCCTAGTCCCTGTTCCTGAATAGCTGAGTAGTAACTTCTGGAATATTTTAGTAGCAGGTCTGATGTATCTATAATGTTTTCTTTTACAGACCTTGCAGCTAGAAAAGAACAGAGTGAGCCAAGAAAGCCCTTTTTTAATTCTAGTAATGTTAGAATTTTAATGAACAAAATAGAATATAAAACTGTATTTTTAGAAAGGGTAGTCTGCATGTCTGATTATAGGTCTGGAGAGCAACCCTCCAGGCAAGGAACAGAACCATTGATGAAGTCTGCTGTGACCCAGCTGTGCCATGTGTAATCTGTCTTGGTCCAAAGCCTTCTGAGAGCCTCTTTAAAAAAACCCAAACAAACAAAAAGTGGAATTTCCAAAAGAGGGGGAAGAGAAATTTATGTTTATTTTTAACCTGTGTCACTTTAGTGACCTTTTTTATTGCACAATTCTCTAATTGGCAATAACACTACCACAGTCACATTTATACAGTTTCTTTAATCCAGGGGAAATCTACACTTGTGCTGAAAAATTTCATCTAGGAATCTTATGAGTGATAGAATTAATATAAGTGACAAGAACATGGAGCTGGGAGCTGAGTCTTAATATTTTGGTGGTTCGTGGTGTTTTGTAAAACTGTAGTCACAACATCTGATACCCTGATTTCTTCTTTTGCTTGCACATCTCTTCCTGCAGTTGTGTAGTGAACTGATAAGGACCTGTTACTCAGAAAAAAAAATGACTGATTTTCAACTCCAGTCAATTTCCCCAAACCACTTAACTGTACAAATATTCATGCTGGCCAAAGGGAAGGGGCTGGAGTATTCACTACATAGTGGTGCACAGACTGAAAGTGTCTGTGGAGCTGCAGCCATTATGAACCTTTTAACAGATATGTATCATTAATTGCCCTTTTTGTTTCAAGTCCAACTTTTCCAGTAGGAGGCCAATTGATCAAACTTTGATCATCTTGCTCATAAAATTGAAATGGAGCTTCAGCATATTTCTCTTCAAAAATGCTTGCCATTAGGTATTCTGAGCTTTGATTGATTAAAACACTTTTAAATATAATTGTCCTTTAATCCAAGATTACTGTAAGACTAAATAGTGTACTATTTTGAGAAATGTTTGGATAACAGCAGCTGATTCATCTTAAATGATAGTGTGCCTTTATATTGGAATCTAACTTTGGAAGTACCCGTGAACTCTTCAGTGCATAATTGTGAAAATAATACAACATGTTAATTATATATATCATGAAAGCTTTCTCTTGATGTGTGTTAATATCCTTTAAGTCATACAAGATTTTGATTGAACTGTTATCTCACACTTCAGCATTTATAGTTAAGATTGTTTGGTGTTTTCTTTTTTCAATTACAGAAATTCCCCAGAAAAATCAGCCATTACTAAAGCCTTTAGAAATGATCCTTTGAGGAACAGATGGATGTTCAGGCATTTCTTCTGTAGCAGTGCTGGCAAAACAGCACCAGTAACTCTTTCCTTGTTTCATTCTTTCAGTTCTGTCAATACAGCTGATTGTGCCCTACACTGGGGAAATGATTTCCTGTGTAAGACATACTCAGCAAAAATTACATTGTCATTAAAAACCTTATTCTGTTCTCTAATCCTTTTCACCAAAAGACTTAAAGACACTGCTCTGTTGATGGAAGCAGGGCATAGACAGAACTGAGGCTTTGAAGCCATTTCACAACCGTGTTTAGTTGCTAAACATTAATCCTACTCCATTAGGAGTTTGAGCAAAAAAACTAGGTGGGCTCCTGTCCTGATCTGGAAATGATAGCTAAGAGAACTTTAGGAGAAAACCCTACAGGTTTGTAATTACTAAGTTTGATAGAAAGACTTACAGAGTTACTATGATGCACATAAAAGCAAAAAAAGAGGAAATCACTGACAACAGAACTTTTTACAGGGAAGCTTAAAATGATGCAAGTGTGGAAAAGTATCGGAGGTTTTAATAACTTCTGCTGTTATACCTAAAAAATTTTGGAGATGTCATTTTGGTTTGGGGTTTTTTTTGCTTTGAATGGTGAATTTTTTTTAAAAGGGTATTTTAAAAGAGGAATTAAACAAAACAAAAAAAAACCCCAAAAACAGGTGTCCTTGAGGAACTATTGATTTTTATTAGGTACAGAATTGTTTGCAGAACCTTATGTTACTGCTCATTAACAAACATGTAGAAATCTGGAGCTGCAGTATCATGTGACATACCTGAAGGTTAAAGAAGGTCAGTTTGATTGCTTATAGTTTAAAAACTGTAACAAAACAAAAAATTTCCCTCCTCAAAAAGCTGAGGACTTGTCACTCTGTGAGCTGTCATTTTGATGATAGTTGTAGTTTGCAGCCACTTTAATAATATCCTAAAGTATAAGCTTTGTAGGTGCCTGTAAAATGTCAAAGGTTCTCTTTCAAGTGTTTGAATGCGGGTATTAAGTTGGGCAAAAATAACGCCAGGTTTAAAATCTGTGTATGTCCATTGATAGCACATAGAAGTAATACTGAAGTAAACATTGAAAAATGTTTAGGCATCAATTTAAGCAATGAATTGTGATAGTCAAATTTTTTCTTTCTCATAGATTCAGAGAAATAGCAGGGGCCTTAGAAGAAGCACTTTCAGATACACTAGAGGAAGCACCAGGTAAACTTTTTGTGCAAAAAGTACGTATTGTAAAGGAATCACTTGTGTAAATAGCAGTGGTCACTGTGTCTCTTGAGTATTCAGTAACATGTATCCCGTGGTTCACATGAGCTTCCTTATTTCTGATTGGCTGTTCAAACAGCATAAAACATTGTTGCAGAGATGGCAATGTGAGAATTCTGCTCAGTGATGACTTTACTTGCTAAAAACTCCTCTTTAGCAGCTGGCATTGACATACTTATGGAAGCACCCCTCAGTGCAAGAAGGAGTTGTTAGCATTTGACATCTTCTAAATGACAACCAAAAGGCTGTGCTGTGTTATTGGGGCATATTTTTCTTAATGTTGTAGCAATGTATAGCACTGTGTAAAAATGGCTGTCTGTTGGCAGCATTTAGGCGTGCTGTCATTTATAGTGTTGGTGTCTGCTCCAAAAATACACATTGATTTATGAGGAGGTATAAACAGGAGGAATAACCTGATGCATGCATTAGAAGCATATTGTAATCAGAAGAACTAATTTCAGCTAACAGAATGAATACTTATGAAGACAGTATCTACAGACACCTAAATGTTGTTATGTGTGTATCCACACATGCCCTCTGAAGCAAACCAGGAGAAAAAAATCCTAATTGAGACAAAATATGTATAAATCTTGCCACTTCAGTGTGTAGGCCTGGAACTTGCAGACACATTCCTTGTCCTTCTAATTGTATTCTCTAAAATGCTAAAACTACATAAAATGCTTTAAATGTAAAACTGTGTAAACTGCTTAAAAAGTATTTTGTTTAAATATGGACATTTGTACAGTATTTAAAATAAATATTTATAGCAAATATCTCATGTAACTGGGAGAGGAGCAATAGTTTAGTGGAAAGGGAGTATTATGTTACGGCTGGCAGGAGTATCTAATGTAACTTCTTCAAAAGACTGCCAAAAATTTTTTTGGAAATGTTATTTCCTGAAGTGGATTATCTGGCCAAGCTGTTTCTGCTTTTATTGCAGGCAAATTCCCATTTTTTGCTTTGGCCTGCACAGCTACAGCAAGACTTTGGTGGAATTTGAAATCTAAAGCATTGAGGAGATAGTTTTTTAAGAGTTTATTTCAGGAAATGCTTAATGCATTTCTATTTGATGATTGTATCATTTAGGAAAGATCTTGGGTAATGCAGTTACACTGATGTTGCATCTTTTAAAAACATGCTTAGGAACTTGACCTTTGTTGCCTGATCGTTTCTAGCTGGGAGCTCCTTCTGTCTCTTGGCCACCCACATGGTGTGGGCGAGTCTTGTGAAGTGCTGGTCGGATCAGATGTTTGTGCCGCTGTTAGCGCACCGCCTGTGGAAGCTCAGCCTGCAGATCTTGGCTCGCTACTCCGTGTTCATCAGCGAGGTGAGAGAGCTGCCTGCTGTGAGGGGCTGGTGGTGGGCTGTGTCCCTCAGAAAGGGACTCTTTGAAGCAAAATATGTGACCTCTTTTTAAGAGTTTTGTGAATTTAGTGGTTTTTAACTTTCAAGCAGTTCATGATTTTGGCTTATAAAAAGTATCGCTGCAAAGTACGTGATTAGTCACAAATATCAGTACTGTTGCAGTGCTGCTGTCTGCTGCTTTGGTGCTTGCCAGTGCTGTACTTCATACTGCTTAATTCTGTCTCTGCCACTGAAACAAGAAGCCAAAATCTTAGTTCTCTTCTGTTTGTGTGTTGTTGATTGAGTGAAGTTGTGAAACAGAGCCAGGTATTGTAAATTAAAGGCGACTTCGACAAAGGAGAGAGAGAGTGATGCATCTGACTTTATCATCAGAAGGCTAATGAATTACTTTATTATACTATACTATGTATAGTATACCTAAACTGAATCTGCCATGCACTCACTCTTGCTCACAACTGCACAGAACTGCACTCATCTCTTATTCTCTCATGACTGTCCCGTGATAGTCCAACACACACACACTTCTTGGCCCTGATAGGCCAAGGGAACAAAACATCTTCACTTTGGGTAAACAATCTCTATATTGCATTCTACTTTAGCACAACACAGGAACAGCAAGCAAGATAAGAATTGTGTTTTCCTTCTTCTCCGCTTGTCTCACAGCTTCTTTCTGTTCAGGGGACTAGTGAATACCACAGCCAGGAAAAAAATAACCCTGCAAATAAGGAGGAGTGATATAATCTGGATCAGTTTTTTAGTATTGAGAATGCAAAGCCAAAGTTTCCTGGGCAGCTGACTCAGCATCAATGATCACTGCTTTTGAGCAGAGAAAATGTGCTTTGCTCTTGTACTGCCTGCTCCCAGCTGTACAAGTGAGCCCCTGTTTCTTGTGCCATAGAGAGACAGTACAATAGAATAACTGGGATTTGAAGGGATTTCTGGAAGTCATTTGGTTCCAGTTCCTATTCAAAATAGGAACAGCTTATATGAGATTGTGCAGAGCCTCTTAAGTTGAATTTTGGGTATTTCCAAAGGTGGATATATTTTGAGTATATCCAAAGATTGCACTCTTTCCTGGGAACCCTGGTCCGATGATTGATTGCTTTTTCCTCCTATGTTGTCAGAATTTCTCTTAGCACAGTACATATCCATTGCCTATTACTCTCTCACTGTACCTCATGGAAAAATCTGGTTCTGTCTTCTCTGTACATGCCCCTTCAGTAGCTGAAGGCAGCAGTAAGATCTCCATTTATAATTTCTTTTGTGAGTCAGTGACTTAGTTCTCTCAGCTAAATCAGCTCATGCAAAGTACTGATAAGTACCAGAGTTAAACCAGAGTAGTCAGGGGAAGCACTTGCCTGACAGCAGAGAGCTTGAGGAGGTGGGAGGAAGGAGCTGTTTGACAGCAGGACTGGACTGCCCTCTCTTAACCTTAGACAAATTTGTACTAAATCACCCAACTTTCTAGTGTACTCAAATTTTTTTAACATTTACTTTTTGAATATTTTAGTAATAGTATTTGGTAATATCCCTTGAAAGTATGGCATTCTAATGCTGAAGGCTTACAAGTCTTTTATGTACTGTTTCAGTTTATCCAGCTTTAACTGCCTTCACTATTGCTAGGGTTCACACTTCAATTTGTTGTTTCAGGTGTCTGTAAGGCCCATTTCCAGTGAAAATACAAAGGAGAGCAAAAAACCTGTGCCAGGTGGTAAAAAGGAATCTTCTTTAAGCCTCAACCCCAGTGAGGACCAAGGAAATGGATCTTCTCCAGAAAGCGTGCCATTGTCGTCTATATCTAGTACTCAGCTGATATACGTTGCTGCAGATCTGGACAAACTGCAGGATTGGGTTTGTGCTTTTGACTTTACTTAGAAAGAATCTTCATAATTGTTTTTGGCATATTGTAAGAGCATTAAATTGGTTAAAATAATGTACCATAATTATTTCTTAATCTTAAATGCCAAAACTTGGGGTGTCTGATACCTGAAATTCGTGGTCTACTCTGTGCTTATTTGGAATGGCAGATTACGGGCAAACCACTTCAGGTATTTAAATTCTTTTTATCAGTAGCTGCTGGGCTTAATTCCTAAAATAATATTTTTCTGAAGTTTTTTGGTGTGAAGTGTCGCTCTGCCAATCTTACCTTTTCTAGTGAAGTCTCTGTTGCAGCTTGGAGTGTGGTGTAACATTCGGCTTTAGTGTGTCTAAGTGTTTGCTGGTTTTAGTCTTTGAGGTTGGAAAAGGTTTTATCATCATGATTATACTTGATTAATGATCCAGAATCTTGAGGAGAGATGTATGTTGTTGTCTCCCAGTAGGGATGATTCCTATGTATTTATTTTCAGTAAGGGTGAATTTTCTGTAATTTGTAAAGTTGTAAATTGCAGGAGGTTTTGTTAGTTCTAAATTATTTCCTCTGAGTACAATAATAAGGTAAAGGATTTAGTGTGTAAGCCTGAATTCCTGTGCATATTGTAAAGTTTAGTATTGATTGCACAATAGAGATGCGGTAAAACCGTAGAAATTGAGGATGTTTTGTGATGCAATTCAAACTCACAGGACAGAGGGAAAGAAATTAAAATTTTTATAACGTGACTATATCTCTCTTGATTTTGGGATTTTTTTTTCAGATTCCTGACATCTTAGACATGATTAAACCAAAGCTTGAAATGATTGGCTTCAAGAATATGTCTTGCATTGCAGGTAAAGCTGAGAGGCTCCTTTTCCTTTCTCCCAAATCCCCTCTGCCAAAAAAATGAAATCAACTTTTACAGTTTCATTATTTAGGGTGGAAATACTTAATAAAATTTGCCTTCTGTTTAAATTGTTAAATAGAAACAATCTTGAAAAGATCTGTTGAGTCTAGAAATTGCTTAACAATTAAAATTGAGTGAGTCTAAAGTGCTTTTAGGATTTTTCTCCAGAAAGTGAGGACTTTATCCTAGAAGATTCATATAATTAAACTTTTGAAATAATTGGGGAAGAACACAAAAGGAGAGGCTTTCCATTATCCAGTGGAAACTAAAATATTTTTCTAAAATGACTGTTCTCTCTTAGGCCTGATGGGTCATTTGAGGCAGAGGGTTATCAAAGTATCATAGTTAAATATCTTAACTTCAGAGAGTAAAAGCAATTCAGTATTTTAGTCTCCTTTTTTCTTTCTGGGTTTTTGGTTTGGGTTAGTTTGGCTTTTGGCTTTGCCTCTTTGGTTCATTTGTTTGGTTTTTTTTTTTTTTTTGTCTGATCATTCTTTATGTGAAATATGGAGTTTGATTTTAATTTAATAATTAAAGCTAGACATGCATGAGTGAACTAGTGAACTAGTCCCTGTCTGCAGGAAGAGCCAGAAGTTTTGCATCATGAATTCTACTGATATCTCTAAATCAGAACTACTGGTAGATGTCCAAGTCTATTAGAGATGTAGGAGCTTGTGCACATCCCCTGCTCAGTAGATGGTCTGTAACCAATCACAGCTTTGAGTTGAACATACTCCACTAATTCCATAGGGAATTTGGAGAGAATTTCACACAGTTTCTTTGGAAGGTCAGAGCCTTTTGATTCAAGCCCTTGCCTCATTGGTAGTACTGGAAAAACTTGGAACCTGAAGAATGTCACTTTGCTCCTCTTGTCTTTCCTTGCCTCTGTCTGTGTTTGTGGCTGAGGAATGGTTGGTATTACTGGCAGTGTTTTATAAGTGGCTGGTGTGTATTTATTTGGTAAGCATATCCTGTACTTGACACCAGACAGTGAGTGGGATTAGGAAGCTGAGGAGATTCACATAACTTGTGTTGTGTTTGGGCAGGGTAGCTCAGTTTAAACTTCAGCATTTTTACTTTAATAGGAGCCTTGGAAGATTCAAAGACTTCTCTCTCAGCCTGTGTGCCTACCTTGAATAACAGGATCATCCAGGATCTCAGTGAGTCCTCCTTTGCATACCTGAAGAGTGCACTGGAAGTTCCAAGATTATATAGGAGAACCAACAAGGTCAGTACTGCTTGCAAATGAAAAAATAAATCTCAGAAGGGCTTGTGCTGAGATTATTGAGTTCTTTGAGCCTGTCCATATCTGCTTGACAGAGCCCATGACAGTGTCTTCAGCCTAGTGAAGTATGGTACAAAGCTGTAGGTATTTTAACAAAAGTGTAATAGTCTGTTTTGGGCACTGAGTCTGCTCAGTTTTGTCTGGAGTCAGTAAGAGCAGAAGGAGCATTCAAGATCACACCCTGGTCATAGGAATGGTTTGGCACATGCATCTCTGAAAAAGCTTTGGGCATTTTGAATCTTGTTCTGTATTATATTGAATAATTTTGTGATGGTGTCTTCCATGTGTATAAGGATCTCTTTGTTGACTTGTCCTGAATGGTTTATGTATCTCTTTGCTTTAGGTACAAGATTAGCATTTTTTACATGTGCTAGAATTGGGTGTTGATGCTTTGAGTAAGTAAATGACTGGTTCCTTCTTCCCCAACTTGTTTCCCTGTCATCTGCCAGGAGGTGCCAACTAAAGCCTCACCTTATGTTGACAGTGCTCTTAAGCCCTTCTACCGACTGCAGAATGACTACAGAGACACCTTGAAGCAGCCCATGATTCATCACTGGTTGGAAGGGGCTCTCTCTGAAAGCACACAGAAGTAAGAAAAACATACAGAACATTACTTGCCTTAGTTAAAAACTCTAATGTCTATGGAACAGGCACAGGAAAAAAACCAAAATGCTATGAATTAACACAACTGTAAAGAAAATCAAAATACAGCACTCTTTGGGTGGGATATATTTCCTTTGATTTGCTCTCATATTGCATGTTCAGCAGATGAAAAGCTGGGCAGGGAATCCAAAACCCTGATTCCTGCTCAGATCTGTGCAAACCATGATGAGGTGGATAGGATGTTTGAAAATTTGGTTAGGTCTGGGAATGCAGCAGTGAACTAAAGATGTGCAGAATTGATGTAAGACCTTAAATTCATTGCTTTCAGTGAAAGTTACTAACCTTGTTACTTCAATGAATAGTGTTGAATTTTCAAGAACTTGAGTTCTACTGTCCTTTGTCTTCTTTAATGTATGCTATGATTATTCAATTTTTTAGTGATTTAAAAAAAAACTTTGGGCTTTTTAAACTGCTGAAGAGCTAGTTGTTCACAATTTTAATAAGGCAGTCATAAAGTAATACTTGCTTTACAGATTTTCTGTTTCCTAGTTAGCAACTTGAGGGCTTTTGAACATGTGTAGTAGTTGTACATATGCATTAGGTTCCTTAGTGGCTTTTTTTTTTCCATCAGTCTAGCTGTATTTTAAATTCTTACTGCTGTATTTTAAATTTTTACTGAGCAGGGATTTTGCATTTTGTGTGTTCTGCCAGTTAAAGCATGTAACATGAGACAGCAATACTTGTTTTTGTTTGAAAGTTCTGCCAGAAAATTTCACGGGACACCTCCTACTTTTTGTGTTGTCAACAATTTACTCTTTGTGTTAGCTATATTTTTTTTATCTCTAACCTTGCCTAAAACTAAAGAGTCACCTTAGCCTATTTGGATGTTTTTTTTTTTTTCCTTTTCCCATATTTATAGCTATGCTTTGGTTGGTTCTCTTTGACCTTTGGAAAGTTCTTCACTTTCCAAAACTTAGGTTAAACATGATGGCAGTGGTTAATCACCAGTAAGACTGGCAGGTTCAATTCTTAATTCCTTAGAATTTTCTGTCAAATTCTGTTTGCATGTTTACTATTTTCATAATTTTGTTTTAAAATATCCTCATTGGCAAGCAACAAGTCAAAGAAACTGAATTTCTTACACGGAGGAGTATTGTAGTTTATTTATTGAGAATACAAATGCAAATAATTTCTTGCTGTCATAATACATTCTTATATATTCACATCCAAATGAAAAAACAGAAAAGAGCATAAACTAGTTAAAAATCACTGGGGACTAAATTTGCTTAAATGGCAGAAGGATTTAGGAGTACAACAGAAGTAGGAATTAATCACAAGTGAGTGGGACTAGGAAATACCAAGATATGAAAAGAGGACATGACTGACTTTTACTGGAATACTTTTACTTTTCATAGAATGCTGTCATGAAACAAGTTTCCATGGCATTGGCGAGCACTTTTTCTTTAGCCATCCCTATCTAATTACATTTTTAAAAGCTTTTCTGCTTTTTGTTGCCTTCTTGTTTAAAATCATCAGGAAGATTGTTTCAGCTCTTAATTCTTACAGTAATATTTTTCATAGGCTCTTTGAAAGTTAGGTATTTTAGCAAATTACAGAACATAGCTCAATCTGGTCATTTCTCTCATGGATCTTTTAATTTCCCATTGTTGCTCTGTTTTCCCTTCTTATTGTTAGCTCACAGTCCTGGGCATCTGTTAATTTGTATGATATGCTCTTCCCACTAAGGCATGGGATTTCAGTCCATAAGACTTTTTGAACTTTTGTTGAGTAGATCTCTGATTCTATGCTTTCTCTAATGTTGATTCTTTCTTAGTGGGCAATGGTGTTTTATTTTATCTCTACTACTTCTAAATTAGGGTTATGGTTCTTCTGACTTTTCCTGCCAGCTTCCTGAGACTCCTGTTTAAATCAGTTTCTTCCTTTTAGAAATAGGCATTTCTGACTGGTGTGCCTATGTGTACTGTCATATACACTTTTATAACTTGCCTAAAAATATATGGGTTTTGGTCTGTCAGTCTGGTATTCCTGTCCTGTTTATAAAATTGAGTCTTATCAGTGGTCTGTTGATTGTAAAGAGAAGCTGATTTTGACTGTTTAAAATTGAGCAGTTGCATTCCTTGGTCACTGTTGAGTACAGACATCTTGAACAAGTCAGAAATGTTGTGATGAGGAGTCTTAAAGACTGAATAGTAATCTTCAGACTAACCTCTGGAACAAATAATGGAAATACTGTTTAATTGGTAATGCTAACCAGTAGCTTCTTTGCAAGGGAAGCCATTCCTTCTGGCATTGTTCAGCAGGGCCAGTGATGTATTTCTGTGTATGAAGTAGGCTCTTCTGTAAAGTGGAATTTTTTCTTTCTCATTAACCTTCCTTAATTCAGGTATTATGAAACTGTATCTGATGTGCTCAGTTCTGTTAAGAAAATGGAAGAGAGTCTAAAAAGGTTGAAGCAAGCAAGAAGAACTGCAACTTCAAACCCTGTTGGTACAAATGGGGGCATGAGTGATGATAACAAAATCCGACTCCAGCTGGCCTTAGACATTGAGTATTTTGGAGAACAAGTAAGTTATGACAAACGAGTTTCTTCTTATTATTAATAGTTTTGGAAGGGAGATGGAAAAGGAAAGGGAACCTTGACTCCAGTTTTGGTCTTGAAAGCTTTGCTGGTGTGGGTTTGGGTTTTTGTTTTGTGTTTTCAGATTTGTATAAAGGAGATTATTTCAGACTGTGGTGGTTATAGATACCACTTCAGCAATGCATACTTTCCTATCCTTTCTTGTACAAATGCGAATCTTATATTTCTTACTACTTAAAATTCAAGTACTGCTCAGTGCTTGGAAGCATTAAGAAGAAACACTGTCTTTACAGATGAGAGGGCAGGGACCTGACTTAGGTCTGGTAGAAACTTCTTTATGGCCCTTCTTTTGTTTGTCTTCTGTCGGGGTGTTTCAGCCTTGACTTTCAGCAGGGTCAGGGTCTGTTCCCAAGAGCTGTGAGAATGTCAGCCTGATTTGTTGTGCTGCATAACTGTAACTGCTTCTCAGTGCCAAATACAAAATTTTAAATAACAAAACAGAAAGTATTCCAAGAAATGTATGCAGTAGCTACATTAAATTGTATAAACATACTGTTTTGTACTCCTTTATTTCTAAAAATCATATCTATTCCAACCAAGAGTCAAGTCATATCTATTCCAACTATGGTATTCTATCATAGCTATTCCAGCTAAAAGTGTATATCATTATGCCAAGGAATTGTCTGATCTTGTTTGTGAGCAGTTACTGCTGATGCATTCTAGCAGGTAGATTAAGTCTGCTTGTGTGTGAGCAGATGCTTTTCTCAGATACGAGACTAATCACAATTGGGTGGAACTGTGGAGATCTTACTAACAAAAACTATTATTTGTCAGCTTTTGCCTGGGGTTGGGCTTTTGTTCTTTTCCATGCTGCAGTGTGATTTTAAGCTGAACTGGGACAGATTATTCATAATCATTGGAGATGTTTTGGTACATGTGACTATTACAAAGACGTCCAGCAGCAAACACCTTTTCAGAATCACTTCATTATGGTTTTAGTTAGATCCAGATTTTTCTGCTTCACTGCACTCTTAGTTTTTTCGTGGCCATATTTTTCTTATTGTCAGAACAAGAGATTTCCTGGCTAAGAAATTACTTGCAGCAACCTCTGTAATTGAAGAGTTGTTTTTGTCTCCCAGGAAGTTCCAGGCTAGAACCATAGGCTTTTGCAGCCTATTGAAATGCTTTCACCATCGTGCTGTTGGCTCTTCTTGGATGTATTCACGTTGATCTTTAAAGTATTGCCCAGAAACTTCATTTGGAGTGAGAAAAAAAAAAAAAAGAATCAGTTGAAATCAATGCATTAAAACCAACTGCAGCCAAGTTTCTCTTTCTAATTGCTTCACTGGGAAACTTCCAGCTGGCTTTAGTTACAAGTTGCCTAGAAGATGGTGAAATATTTCCCTGCAAGACACTTCTGTAACCAGAGAGACTTAACTGAGCAAAGTTGGATGCAAATATTTACAGTTTGCAGTATATGCAGTTGTGTTTTTTGCCACATGTCAGTACAGGAGGAAACATAGGCTTCACTAAGTATTTTAAGTAGAATAATTATTAGCTTTTCAATGTTTTAAAGAAAATTTATGGGTTTTCTGTATCTTTTTAGATCCGAAAGATGGGACTGGAAACAAGCAGCATAAAAAGCTTTTCAGCCCTTGCAGAGCTGGTTCTAACTGCCAAGGATCAAGCTACAATGGAACCATCCTAGTTATTTTTGAAAGCATGTGATTGAAGATAAACAAGGTCCCTAAAAGAGAGAGAGAGAACTCTGCTTTGTTTTACCAAATAAATAGCAATTAAGTGCTTCCTGAAGTATCTCAAGCAGCAAATCAGTGTATCTTCTGCCTTGATGAACTTGCTTCACCAAAAGACTGAGACTTTATCAGTTATCCATTATATGGAAAGCAATCAAAGTTCTAAACTTTCTACTATAGAATAAAAGTAGAAGAAAATGTTTTTCTTATTTTTGTTGTACAACTTGAAATGTACAAGAACAAAGTTCTATGTTGAAAATTATATGTAATAAATTGTCTTCCTAACATTTGATGTACCATAGGTTTTTCAATCAAATGTATTGATTGATGGCTGTGTTACAACCCACTCCAGAGGCAAAATAACTGAGGTTCTTGTTAACTGAACCCTTGATCTGAGTGAAAGGACACTGAGTGACCAGAGTTTATGTATCTATATATACACATAGAGCTATATCTATCTATCTATCTGGTTTATTTTAGAGCAGTTTGGTTGCAATGAAGGAAAGGTATGTAGCTGTTTTGGTGATTGTCTATAGAAATAGAGCAATATGAAAGTAATATCATTTAATATATAAGCATATCATTTAATATAAAAGATATCATTTAAGAATATATATAAGGAAAAGAAAGAGAAAATGTATGAGTACGTAGTAGAGATGAAAGACATCACCATCCATGGATCCCACAACAAGACTTGATTGTTGCCATTTCAGTTGTTTGTTGGTCAAAGTAATGGTCACAGTCATGATCCATCAGGGATGGGGGAAGTCCATGAAACAAAGAGGGTTCATACATGGGTTCAGTGGGTTCATGCATGTTTTGATTCAGGTGGGAATGCCCTGGTACCTCCCCTGAGGGGGAGTTCTGTGCTATCACTGTGAATTGACTGTGATGTTATCACTGTGAATCATGTGCAGTCCTCTGGTGGGAAGTCCCAGAAATGAGTCTGGGGGCACATCAGGGTTGTTGGTGGTCACAGACTCCATCTGTCCTATAACTTAGGGTGATTTTGAACAGTGATATGAGTACGAGCACTTGCTTTCTCTCCCACAGTTTGCCAGAGAATTTTTGTCTGGATGCATTAACCAGGATGTGCTAACCAGATCTCACCACTGACAGGTCTGGAATCAGCACCTTCCTGTCACAATTCCTCTCTTCTGTGCTTACCTCCAGTTCCTGCTGTGGTGGCTGATCTTAGGGCAAGTTCTGTCTGTGGCCTTGGCAGTGCTTGAGACAGGCAGCTGTGTGCTTTAACTCTTTACAGGATGTCAAAAACTTCCAAATGCTATTCCTGCTCTCCTGGGAGAGCAGCCTTGGTCTAAGGTTGGTTCAAAGGAGAAAGCTGTGGAGGGAGCCATGTTGTGGCAGTTCTGTGTTCCCCTCGGCATGCCTTTTGCACCTGCAGTGTGCTTGGAGCTCTGGGCCTGGGCATTTTTGGAACCCTAACCCTAGGTGTGGCTCTAACCCTAGGCAGAGCTGGATAAAGTACTCTTAGGAACACAATTGTGCTATTTCTCTTTGCTGCTTTTCTCCTTCATCATGGGATATGCTTAGCACTTGTTTGGGTTTTGGATGTTTTCATTTAACTGATGTGGTTTTTTTCACAGACCATGTTGGTGTGAAGGGCTGCGTGACAAAAACTCATAAAGTAATTTAATTTTTAAAATAATTTTTACTACAAGTGTCTCACTTAAATATTATTACATTCAGACTACCCGTTTTCCTTCAAATTCAAACTTAATTCACTAAGCTAGAATTTATTCAAGGCTGGCATATTTCTTATTTGTATTATATTATCTATTAGAATTTACCTGCCTACATGTAGAATTTTTGTAACTTCCAACCTAGTTACATCAGTGAAAGGTGCGTCTTTATTTAGCAGGAAATTAGAAAGTGTTACTAGGGTTTAAAATGGTAGAGGGAGTAACCAAGAGCTTTCTTGAACCTAGAGAGATCTGCCTATTGGTGCTTCTCATTCACATGTGAAGGACAGGCAACATAGTCTGGGCACAGTAGCAGTTGAATTTAGGGTTTTAAAGTCAAAAAATGCCCTGGGTTTTTTTGTGTTTTGGGGGTTTTTTTTGCGGTTTTTTTTTTTTTTTTTTTTAACTGTGGAAAATTTAACACTGGAATTCTAGTTCCAGATTATTAATTAAAAATACCTGGTTTTTCCTAAAGTATTTAGAGAGCTTGGGACTTAATGCCCAGATTATGCAAATTTTCCAAGTACTTAGAGATAGGAGGTGTGTAGCACACGACTGTTGGGTGAAGTGAAACTGTATTGAGCAAACCTTTCATGGCTTGAGGGCTTTCATTCCTCACTGTTGGAAACTGATCACATTTTAGTTGAGAAGACACAACCATGATATCATGGTGCTTTTGAAGCAATTAGGAAAGGTGGCTGTTAGGACTTTTCTAATACTGATTTTTTGAAGGGAGGCAGTGAGGAAAGAAGCCCTGCTGCTTAAAATTATGTGGTGGTGCTTGCATTCAATCTTGAGTAATGGAGAGCAGGATTTGGCTTTTTTAATTTGCTTAGCGTCTCTCCGTTCATGGCACATACACAATCAAGGGAGCATCCAAGTTTATTGCTGAAAAAAGGAACAGCCAAGTGAACCAACTTGTCAGATGACAGATCTGTTTGTCTCTTTCAGGCCTCTGGAAATCCTCAGCCTTAGGCACACTCTGCTGAATGGATTTACCTCTTAGTGCTTATGAACAAGGAGTTTGTGTACCTATTATGTTTTCTAGGCTTCTAATAGATGAACACAGAAAGCATGTTCTCCCCACACCTCTTAATTTTCTTAAGAGTCAGGAGTAGAAACATCATCCTAGTTCTAGCTACTGTTGTTTTCAGCAATGTTTTCTTATTATAAAATGGACGTGTAAATTGTAGCCTGAGAGTGAGATTGTAGGATTGTAAATGCACTGTGCAACTGCTCACTTCAGCAGGACTGCATCTCTATACAATTAAATTTCTACAACAGCTGTCACCAAAGCAGCAGATTCTGAGACCTGTACAGACTAGTGATGGAAAATAGAACAGTTTTGTTTGTATCCTCCAAAGCAGGGGAAAAGGATATAGTCTGTGTACCAAACCAAAAAGGCACAGAGAGATTACTTACACTTGAGTTGCAAGTGATTTTCCACATCTTCCTGCAATGCTTCCTGCTTGTCTTCATCAACTTTGTGAGGATTTAGGCTGAATTCTGTTTTTTTCTATTGAAGACCAGCTTTAATTTCAGGGCAGGAAATAACACTGTGTAGCAAATCAAAATTGCTGAATGGTCCTATGATTGCTTTAAATGTCTGTATCACTGGTTCTGTGTCAGTTCCCCATCTCTTATTCTTGTTCACTTGAACAGGATTGAATTTTCTTTCAGTGGAATAATACATCAGTTAAGAATTTGTGTGATACAACCATTGAAAGAAAGGTGTGAATTAACTTTGGTAAACTGAATTTTAGCATTTTCAAACACTGTGGATCATTGAGAAGATGATCTACCATGTAAGTGCTCCAAAGGAGATGTCTTCTGCTACTGATCCTATTTCTTCTATCCCTTAAGTAATTTTTGAAGTGCACTTCATGACAGTAATGCAGTTTTGATTTTCTGCCTTTTTCTTCTTCCATTCTAGAACCTTTAGAAAACTCACTATGCCTTTCTAATCTTGGAAGAAATTTAGCTGGAAGAGGTTTTGTACAATATTGAGGAGAGAAAGAGCAGTGGTATGTCTTCCTCTAAAATGGTAACTGGGTTCTCAACTTGGTATGTTATACCAGAAGTGGACCAGTTCTAACCTCATTGTCTAAAGATAACTAGCACTATGTGTATTTGGCTGGACCACTCAAGGAATATTTACTTTCTTTTTTCCGTCAACCATTGTATTTTCTAGGTCAAACCAGGAGGGATGAGGAAGCAAAGTGCATGGATTTCTTAAAAGTTGTTGTGTTTTTTATGCTGTCCGTAAATTTTCTGCTATGCTCAGGGATGTGCTGTCTGATGAAACCTAAAGAGCTCATCTTTGCCTTTGTTCTCTTTCTCCAAATCTCCCACTTTTAGAGTCTGAGTTCAGGTGCTCATTCACTAGATTATTAGGCTGTAAATTGCTTTTGGGATCTCAGTATGAGAGTAGTGTCTAGGATGCCTGGAACGTGCATCATGGTGTGCCCAACAGAGGAATTTGGTAAAATTGGAGGAGAGTGAAGAGTAAAAAATGCCATGAAATTTTACATGTAAAATTGAATTGAAATTTACATGTAAAATTTACATGTAAAATGTCAGAAACAAGTCTCAGGAGAGTATACATTGTGAGGTAGCTTATCTTGTTGGTGTTGTAGCATTTGCTCCAGCACTTCTCTCTTTGCAGTCCTTATTCTGGTCAGTTTACTTTTAGTTCCTTGTCTCTGCCCTTTTCTCCTTCCTTTTCATCTCCAGGGTGTCAGTGGAGAGGTGCTCTCCACCACAACATTTCTTTTCTGAACAGTGTGTTTGATGGGTTTGTTTTGTTTTTCTGCCTGTAGCCACTGAAGAGGGATATGGAGTTCCAGAGCATGTGGCCCCCATGTGTGAATAAAGACATTTTCCCTTTAACTTGGTCAGTGTACCCGGAACTTATTTATGGACAAAATAAGCCAGAATTCATTTATGGAAAAAAGCCCAACTGAACTGCAGCAAAGAAACTTGGAAGTGAGTTTATTTGCATCTTTCTACCTCTGCATGTTCATACTTAATTACTTCTGTATATAATACAAGTACAGTATTTAGATGTTAGAGCATCTGGAGTCCATACAGTATAAATGGATAAATACATGGATGCTGCATCCTAGCATTCTTGGGGGTTATTTTATTTATTTTCCATGAAGCTACAGGGATGTGTCACATATCCACATCACTGACACCAAGCTGCTGGAATTAGTGCATTTACTTAGACACACATTTGGGCCACTGTGGATGATAATGAGCTGCTGTGCACTGTAGGATACGTCTTGCATGATCTGCCAAAGAGATTTGCAGTTATTTTTAAGTGCCATTAGTGCTAACAATAAACCTAGAGATGAGAGGTGGAAATCCTTGTTCCAGGCTTTCCTTAGTACCAAGGTTTGTCTCCCAGTTCCTCACTTCAGAGAGTCATCTAATAATCTCTTGTTCCACTTTAATGTTTCAAATTTTTATGACTCTGTTAAGAGTTGGACTGGACTGCTGAAATAATTTTATTCACAAGTAGCAGCACCACATTCACTATTTATACTAATATATATTATTGCCATTAATGCTATTTTTAAAGAACATATGGTTTGGATATGTTAAAGTTTACAGAATTGGACTCTGACCAGTAATGTCCTTCTTTGCTACAAGGCTGTAAGAAATGCCTCACAGGTTATAAAGCAATCCAGTAAATGGAACTGTGTTGCAAAAGTAGACCTTGTGGGATTTTTTTCCTAAAAAAGTCAGAGATAATTCTGTCAGGCTCTGAGAATTTATCCATCACAGTTCATTAATACTACCAAACCCTATTTTTAGCATTTCCATAGAGTTAAGAAGTGAACACATCCATCTGGGCTGCAGAAAGAATGAACTTCCTCTAACCATGTTTTTGCTTCCAAAGCAGAAAAATCTTGTCTCTGTGGGACAAGTGGAGCCTGTGCTGTTGGCAGCATTTTAGAGGGAAATGTTGCTGATGAAGCTAGAAATCCCTGTGGATAATCTTCAGTGTAATGTAAAAGGGAGTCTCTCTTGCAAAACTGACTATACAATTAAAAAAGCTTTTTAAAGAATGAAGAGGTCCTTTTCTATAGTAAATAAAAATACTATAGTAAAAGCTGCTTATCTATTTTTTCAAGTTGATGCTTTGCATCGAAACACTGCCCTGCCCCACTGTGTCCAGAAAGGGAACTAGGAGCAAAAGAGATACAAAGAGTAAAATGGAAGCTGGAGGAAGGATGTGAGTCACCTCACATGAAACAGATGAACGAGGATGAAATGTTGCAAGGTGTTAGCTTTCAAAAAGCTGTTTTTTGAACACTGACAGCTTCATCTCAAAGCTAAGTAGAGCACTCAACAACATCACAAAAATATCTGATGAATAAGAAAAAGGTGATGGGAAATGTGCATCATTCTACTCCTTTCTTATCCTCTGTGTTTGCATTTAATCCTCATGCAGAGGGTTTACTACTCTGCCAAGAAAAAGCATTGCCCTTGACTGCTTTTCAAAAACAGCAAAAAGGAATGGCCTATTCAGTGTTACATCCAGGTACATCCCATCTTCCTTCTGTGCTGCAGGGTCTTCTGGCTGATCTGTTCCATCACTGGCCAGTTTGAAAAAGGCTTTATTTATTACCTGTAAGGAAAAACATATGAGTAACTCTGGAGTCATCAGAGCACAATTGTGATGGGACAAATGAGAGTCTGAGTAAATGATGAAACACATTGTATCCATAGATGTTTAAAAAAGATGTTGGGAGTACTTGTCCATAACGTGCAAAAGCTGTTTAACTGCTTTTACATTGGGCTGGGCCGTCATGCTGTTACCCTTGTGTCAGGGTTTAACCCCAGCCAGCAGCTGAGCTGCTCACTCATTCCTCCCACGACTTGCCAACAACTAAAACTCTTGTGTTATCAGCATTATTCTCCTACTAAATCAAAAACATAACACTGTATGTAATACTCAGTCGCCTACTAAGCATGTCCCCTACATGGCTCTGACTGCTTAGTTCTAGTTAAATTTATTCAGTTTAGGAGGCTGAAATGTGCAGGAAACTTTTTTTTAATGCCAGTGATGTGTACTGTACCTTTCCAACTGTTAGACTGTCATTGCTTATCTTACTGAAGTCTGCCCCTTTCCCCAGCAGTGCAGGCATTTTCATATCTGCAAGAAGCTCCTGTAGATCAGAGCTGTCTTCTAGTGTTAATGCTGGCAGCTTTAATTTAATTTCTCTGCAGAGAGAGGGAGAGAAAGAGGCAAGTGAGTGATTGTTCACTGTGAGAGCGTCGTGGTTGGGCAGTCCTGGGGCATGGGCATGTGAAAACAACTGCAACAAGTGCTCAGTGTGTGGGTACAAACACAGTGGGTGCCTCTTAATGGTTCCAAGTGTGAACTCACCCAGACTTCACCCAGGGTCTGCTGCTAAACCCCAGATGATCCCACTTCATGGGTGGGATGCTTGTTTCCTTGAAATACCCCCAGGTAAAAAGCTGATCCCATGAAGTGGAGCTCCTTTGAAGTGAGCCCCTGGCTGTGCAGGAGTTTCTCTTTGTGCACAGCAGTACAGCCTCCCTGGCAGCACCTGCCCCAGGTGAGGGGCAGGCCCGTGTGGCTCACCCCATGCCGTCCATCCCTTCCATGGGAGGGTGCACGGCCCCAGCCCCTTCCCTACCTTGGGGCCAGGTGCTGGAGCCAGGCTGAGGTCTGCAAGCTCTCCTGGGACTCCAGGTGCTCCAGGTCGCTGCCACCGACGGGCTGCAGCAGCACCAGCAGCGCCGTCCGGCTGAGGGGAACCTCCACTGCGGAAAAAGCACCACTGGCATCGGTTTGGTACCTGAATGTACCCGTGATGGACAGCATAGGGACCAAAACCTTTGTGTCTGAATCCACCCAGAACTCCTGAGGCTCTTTGAGCAGGAAGGCTTGCTTAACATTCGCTGAAAAACAGAACAAGAAAACAGAAATTGATTCTTATCTTCCTTCCCTCCTCCCCTCTGCCCCTTAGCTGGGCTTTTTCAGAACACTCTGTGCCTTAGAGAAGGACTGCATGTATAAAATCACATTTAGCTACTGCAGTCATATGTCTCCCCCTTTTAATCTGCCTTCTGGCGGCATCAAGCTCACAGCACAGGGGCCATGACCTCCAGGACTGTGACTAAAGCTGCTGTGTTTCTGTTGGCTTTGGGGCCTTTCCTGGGGACAGGAAAGTGTTTCTGCTTGCTTGGCTGCCTGCTTCCTCCCAAGCTGCCACATGGTCCCCAGGGGCTCACAGGCCTGTGCAGAGGGTCAGCTTGGCTTCCTCTCTGTCCCTTGAATGCAGTGATGGCATGTTTGGAACACCATCCATCAGGGCCAGCCCGTGCTGCAGGAGCACTCTCAGGCAGACAGGTGGGCTCAGGAGAGGGAAGGCAGCACAAGCTCTCCCTGAGGTCCCACCCTTCACCATCTTACAAACTAAAGCAATGGGGAAGGTTGTAAGCACAGCACTGAAGTGTTGGTTGAGCCAAGGAGGTTAAAAAGGACATACTCAAACACTTACTAGACCTTAAAATAAATTTCTTTCCCAGTTCACAACTATGAGAGGCCTTGCTCTCACCTTGCACTACTTCTGTGCAGCTTTGCATTTCAACTTGTTATCTGCTCACTCCCACAGATCAATGCTGTGCCCAGCTGGGCAGACAATCCTGTTCAACACTAAAGAAACTACTGCCCTCAGTGAAACTTGCAGCTGATGTTCTGCATTGAATTCTAAATGGCAGGCCCTGCTTGGCAGCAAGTCTGCAAATGTGAAGAAAACTGTGTGCAAGTAAACAGCACTTGAGACCACTGGAACATTTAGCTGCTGTTTTGTATGTATTTCTGTCACTTTATCAGTGCTATGGCTGCGAATAGCATCTCAGAGCTTTTGTAACATGTTTCAGAGAAAAAAAAAGGTACTTTATCCTTTCTGCAGCTATAGGGACAGATACGGAGCGTGGCGGCATCAGCTGTCACGGGTGCTCCTTCACAACCAAATGGCAAACCAAACGCTAAAGTGTTTATTAGAAGGTAATTGTTTGTGTAATTAATTTGTTCTTAAGCCAATTTTGTCCATCCCATGTGTGGGGACTGTAACATTTAAAATGCACCTTCTGAGAGAGAAGGTAGTAGAACTGACCTAGTGAGGCAAACCCTTGAACATGTGTTTCTAAGCTTATACAAATGACAAGTCTCCAATACAGAAGAAGAGGAAAAATGGTTCTACTAAAGGAAACTGCTTTTGTCACCATGCCCAAGTGTGTAACACAATTACTTTTGTAGTATCATATCTATGCTAGATCTTACAATGAAGAGAAAGCTGATGCCCACAGCTCACTGAGAGAATTACAGCAGCCATGCAAGGCAAAGAAAACCCAATATCCAGTTTTGAGGTGGGAAGATGGAGGCACAAAAAGGCTTCCTGAGCACCACAACTCCACCTTTAGCAGCAGAGGCCCACTCAGGAGCTTGGGGCTCACTGCAAGTGTTCTGAAATACATTCCTAAGTAGGCAAGCTGTCTGAAGTGTGCAGCTTTGATACTGCATTCAGTCAGAAGGATCTAGGAAAGCAGCTACACTCAGAAGAGGAGGCTCAGTTGTAGTGCAGGGGGATTTCTGGGACAGCAGCACAGAATGACCCTTGGCAATGAAGGGATTGCCTCATTCTAGGTTTGTATAAGTGCCCTGCTTCCATAACTGATGTTCAGGTGCTTCCTGAGCCAGATGTTGCCTCCAGACTTCTGTGTTTAACAGCCACTAGAGGAGTCATGTCCATTGTACTTTTTAACCTTTTTTGTATCTGTACCTCTGCCCTACATCCCCCAGTTCCTTTGGCTTTCTTTAAAGCTACACCCTGATCAATCTTGCTGGTGGCCCCTCATGACTTTCAGCCCCTTTGCAGCAAGAAATGCTGTGCAAGTCTTTCTTATGCACCTTTCCACACCTTTCCTGGACATGGAAAATTTCTTGGAGGCCATCTGCCTCCTCCTCACTCCCCGTCACCCTTGCTGGCTCATGGCAGAGCGCAGGCAGGATCCCTGGCACAGTGGTGGGGAGCAGAGGTCCAGCCTTTCATCTGAGCCCTTCCCTTTCCCCACTGGCCAGGCCTGACCTTGTTCCTTCCCAGGAGCAGGGTTTGTGTCCTGCTGTCCTTCCCCAGCCTGTTCCCCAGAAGAGCAGCGCTGCCTCGTACCTGCCAGGCGGGTGTCCACGGCAAAGAGCAGCTGGGCGGATGGGTCCATGTCTGCCAGCAAGGCCTCGCTCTGGCCCTCGCCCTTGGCCTCCACAAAGGCATTGATTTGTTTCACTGCCTCGCCTGGATTGGCAAAGTC